GTGCATCAGTACTGATTCGCTGTATAGAAATATGTACGTAGATTACGTATAATTAGTACCGCAGTACTGAATGTACAGGGGGTACATGCGCATGGCAGGCAAGCCAKCMGGCCCTGGAGGTTMGGAATTGCCAATAACTTGCCAGTACGGGGCTTGCCTTTAATAGCTCTATTCCCCACTCCCCACACTGTATTCGAAGTATATTTTGTACTGTATTATTATGTTTTGTATCTAGATACGGTACGTATTCTAAATCATATTTTTCATGTCGGGTTGATGAGTGGAACTTGAAGTTTTCCTCGACTCTGCCGATTGCATGTATCAACGACTGACATTTTTGATCTGCAGTGCGGCACAAGGTGTAAAATGCTAAGGTAAGATGTGGGAAAATGAATAATGAATGCTACGTGACAGCATGGAAAGGAAAATCGTGCTGTTTTGTTTGCCTTCCAGATCTGCCATATTCTAGAACAAAAAAGTACATTTTTGTATTGGTTGGAACAGTAGTGGTGTACTTCACAGAACAATCTGAAGGAAAATTGATAGAATTGTATAATATGGAACAACCTCAGCGGAGAAATCTTTCAAAACAGCATGGCAATCTGCTACTTCTGGCGGTAGCCGTTCTCGCCCTTGCCTCGACGACGAATGTGCAGGCTTTTTCGACACCTTCCTGGACCAAGAAAGCAGCAACAACATCTCGGCTTCATTCCTCTGTGGGCGTCACAAGCAATGATGCGTCCCTCTCTTCTGCCGTTGGAATCAGCGAGAGAGCGTTCCGCCGAGAACTCGGCTCCCAAGAAAATCTCATGCTCCCCCGGCAATACGGAGTAAATGCCGACGTCGTCTTTCCCTCGATGAATCACGTTAGCTGCGCAACACTGACCAAAGACAGCGCCATCCCTAGCGCCGCTGCTCTGAAGCACGCAATTTCAAAAGTAATGGAGGCCCACCCCCTACTGAGAGCGACGGTGGAAGGCGACGGTGAACCCGACGAGCGTATCGACCTGTTCAAGATGGTCCGCAAGGGTGACAATCAGCCATGCACGTTCGCAGCCAACGAAAGCGACCTAGAAGCCTGTGATGTACTCAGGCTGATCAACGTGGAAGGTGGAGCCGACGAGCTCGAGGCAAGCTGGAGGGCCTCCTTTGAGAGCGACCTCGACGACGGCAGCACCTGGTGCAACGTTCAGGGAAAGAGCACTCCGCTGTGGAAGCTCGAGCTCCATCGATCCTCGGGGGATGGTGGTGCAGCGCTCTTGCTGTCCTTCAATCACGCTATTTCCGACCAGAGCAGCGCCAGCAAGCTGACGGACCAGATCTTAGCGCTGGCCTCCGATTATGACCAGAACAAAAGCGAGGTTTCAAAAACCCCTGCGAAGCAGGCCATCCCGCCCTCGTTGGAAGAATCCGTCCTCGGAACCGGCAACCGCTTTAAGGATATCCAGGCTGGGGGCTTTGGACTCGGGACCATCCGGTATATTGCCGGAAAGGCTCTTGAAGAAGCCAAAGCCCCTGTAATTCTGCCAGACGATGCCTTCAATAGCCAGGGGGGCGGCCTGATGGGGGCCCTTACGACCATTTCGGGGAATGCGGCTGGTGGTGACGACTCGAAGAGCGGGGAAAGGACTTCCGCCCTCGCCTTTCGATCGCTCTCGAAAGAGACCACCGAACAACTCCTTGGGGCCTGTCGAAAGAACGGTGTCACAATCACCAACGCTCTGTCAGCAGCGTCGACGTTGGTTGCCACGGACTTCGTAGGAAATGAGGCTAGCAACAAGGAACGAAACTACAAGGTTTTGCAGTCGCTCGACATGCGGCGTTTCGGTGCCCGCCTGGACAAGGGCGAATCGGTCGGTTGCTTGGCCGGAAGCATGGACCTTATGCACGGGCCGTTGCCCGACGGCTCTGGCAGAGCCCTCCTATTGGACCCATCGAGCGAGAAGCTCGATCGCTTTTGGGAGCTAGCCCGCGAGGGAAAGCAGCAAACCGAGAACTTTGTCGATTCTGACGGGCCTGTACACGCCGTCCGGGTCTTTGACTTTGCCATGACCATCTCGGACCTGAACAACCTCGTCCACCTCACGGCCCAGTCGAAGGACAGCCAGGGACGGGCATATTCGGCCGGATTCACCAATGCCGGTGTCTACGAACGCCTCGATGCATTTGAACTAGAAGAAGAAGGAACGGCTAAAACCAGTGTGCGTTATCTATTTTTGTATGGTGTTTGAGAAGGTACTGGGGATGTCATGGAAATTCATGGTATTATTTTGTGTTCTTATTGTGTGGATGCACTCACGTAGTTTCCTTCATTCTTCTCTTTTCACATGTTGTCCCTTCTGTTGGTTTTTTTGTTTCCTACCATTCCATCATAGACGCAACATGGAAAGTACAAGATCGACGATATATACTATGCAGCCTCCAATGCACGAAGCGGAAGCTTGTACCGATTTTCGTGCATTACCGTCAATGGGGAAATGAAATTCACCTTCCACCCTGCAACGCCCATTGTTTCAGAAGAAACGAACCAGAAATTTGCCGATGCACTCCTCGATGTTCTCAGGGTAGTCAGTGGTAGTGATGAGGAACTGGTATCCAAAACTGCAACTGCAAACGACTCATCACCCAGTGGAGGAGATAACAACGGTAACGGCGACGGTCCATTGGGATTTTTGCCCAAGAATTCACTGGTGCTGGCAGCGGCTGCTATTGGATCGGTGGCGGTGCTCTCTCACGCCGGAGCGTATGCCGACTTTTATTCCTCCATCCAGGAAATGAAGGCCAACGTCGAAGATCCAGCTGATTTTTCGGCTGCTCTCAACTTCTGGATCTTCTTTGCCGTCGGCCACCCTATCCTCCAGCCCATTCTATGGATTTCGGACGTTCTCCACGGAAGCCCCGGCCCGATGGTCGGTGACTTGGTGCCCCTTACGTTTATTCTGGGCAACGTTGTGGCAATTGCGGCCATTACCTACATTGCGGAAATCCGAAACGCTGTCAATGTCGCTGCTGTATTTGCCTTCTTCGCCTACATCGGAGCCGGATTGGATGGACAGGCCGGCATGGGAGACTTCAATCTGCAGATCGATGACAGCTATAAGGGACAGATTGTTAAGGGCTGTCCGGCGTATGAAGAGGTCCGACAACCTAGTATGAACGATTTCGATCTCGAGAAATACCAGGGCCTTTGGTACGAGCAGAAATTCCACGACTGGACGCAATTTAAAGAAGTGTACGACACGACTCTAGACATCAAGGTGCGTTTGATCTAGTCTTATTGCTGGTTGACTTTTGTTCTCTGTTCGACGGCATGATTCTTTTCTCTTTTCGATTTTTTGGTTTCGTCCACTCTCAATTGAGATGACTTTTACTTTTCATTGTTCGAATCAGCTCACCGATGGTGGCAGGGGATGGATCGACGACTTTGCCGTCAAGGGCCCTGCTCCCGACTCCGCTCCCCTCTCTTGGGACAAGTCCCCCGTCGCCAACGGAGCGCACTACTTCTTGTTTGGCCGTGTCGATCCCAACGATCCCAAGGGAATCCTGCGCGAAAAGGGATTCGGTGTGGAGTTCCCCAATTACATCGTGGACGTGAAAAAGGATCCGGAAACCGGCGAATACAAGGAGGCCATCCAGTTCCAGTGCCTCGAACGCGGTGGGGTCCGCGTCTTTGAGGGCATCAACTTTATGTCCCGAAATCCGACCATGACCGACTCCGAGCTGGACGCCATGCACAAGCGTGCCGAGCAGGCGGGCATGTATCCCTATGGTGCCAGTCCCGAGCAGATGCACCGGGTGGCGACGCGGCCAATCGACGCGCCCCCGATCGACAACAGCTGGCAGGCTATGTGGCGGTTTATCGGCGTCGACAAGCTCCTGGAGCTGCTTACCGAGTCTATCGAGGACGGAGGAAGATAAACCAAAGGAAATGATGTTGTGATAATTACGAAATGATTTGCGGCAAGAACTTGTTTTCCCAGTCTAGTGTAAACACCAAAAAAACTGCCAAATGGTATTACGGTGATTAGGACGGGTGGATGGTTACTAAAATGAGAGTTTTGTGCGATAGTATTGTAATAACGATGGCAAGAGCGCGTCCTTGCGTCTAATCGTATCCAAACGCGACTGGGGTCTTGTATTGATGGTTTCCCTCGTACCGCTCTAGATTTGGTCCGGTTTGGTTTGGTCTGGTTTAGTTTGGTTTGGTTCGGATGCCACGCAATGAACAAACCAAAGAAAAGACGCACGGTTTCTAAAACTTGGCGAGGATGTCCAATGCGCGGACAACGGTGTAGTCCTCTCCCTCGATCTCGACTTCGTTTCCGGCGTAGTCCCGGAACTTGATGAAATCCCCCTCTTCGATCTCCATTTCCATGCGTTCGCCATTGGTGGCACACCGTCCCGGTCCGACCTTGACGACCTTTCCGGTGGATGGCCTGCTCTCGGTCTTGGACGACGCTGCCAGGAGGATTCCTCCCTCGGTGGCGACCTCCTTTGTCTCGACGTAGACCAGGACGGCGTCCTGGATGGTGCTGCACGAGTCGAGCGTGAGTTCGTCTCCCTCGAACCGGACCAGGACGTCGTCGTCGCGAATGAGCGTGTGCTTTTCGCCGTCGATGTCGATCTCGGTTCCGTCGTAGGTCCCGTAGACGACGTTGTCGCCGGCGGAGATGGGCATCTCGAAGAGAACCCCGGTGTCGGGGTGCGTCTTTCCGGGCCCAGTGCTGACGACCGATCCCTCCGTCTTCTGGACCTTGGCCTTGCCGGTCAGAAGGATTCCGCCCTCGGTTTCTTCGACGGCGGGAGCAACCTTGACGAGGATGAAGTTGTTCGTGGGGACGACCGTACCGGATTCGACCGTTCGGCCGTCGATTTTCGCGGAGAGGGTCGTGGAAGTGGTTGTTGTGGAGAGAGGGGCAAAGGCCGAAACCGAAGCCACCGAGAGAGAAACGAGTGCGGCCGTGAATTTCATTGTGTGTGTGTGTGGAATATGCAAGCGGTGTATGTATATCTATCTACTACGGACTTTTGGTGTGTTTTGTTCGTGTGTGTGTCTACTGTGGTTCGTTGCTAGGGTGTGATGGTAGCTCGAGAACAATTATTTCGTTCGAAGATGATCTGGAACGGCAACAACAACAACAGCAAACAGCAACATCCTCCACATCCACAACCCAAACAGACTTGAAGGTTTCTTTCAGTCTACGTGACAGCCATCAAAAAATTGTTGTCCAACCATGCCCACCACACAAACGTCATTCTGAAAGATAAATTAGCGTTAGGGATCAATTTGAAGCCTGGTCGAAAACATGGCCAAAAATATTCTGTAAGTACATGTCAGTACCGTACCTAAGTAGGTACGAGTACCCGTACTGTACTACGGTACAATCCCACGCACGGTTCATCATCATGCGTAATGCGTATCGTATGTCGTATCGTACTACTGTATGTACGAGCCGTACGAACCTACTAAATTAGCTTTACCTCTCATCTCTAATTTAATGCATACAGTACAATACAGTACAAGGTACGGGTACCGTACCGTACCGTACCGTACGTATTACATATTACATTCCGTACCATACAGTAGTATCTTTCCACAATCACCATCTCTCTAGTCCATAGCGTAGCAGGTAAGTACGCACAGTACTTGGTATGGTGCGGTACGGTGCGAGTGTGGGAAGCACGGAAGTACGTTTCGAGTTTTGTCGCTGTTTCCAATAGTTTGATGTTTTGCGCTTTGTATTTTCCATTCAACCGAGGGTGCCGAAGAAACCAAACGAAACCACCCCGACCCAATCCAAGCAAGACCAAACCAAGTTCGAAGCAGAAAGGCACAAGCACACAGAGGAATAGAGATGACCGTTCTTCGCTCGGTTCCGTCCGGCTCGCTTCTGCAGGTACTGCTTCGGCTGTGGGTGCTTCTCGCTGCCACGGTGTCATCCCGAACCGAGGAAGCAACATCTCCCGAGGCACTGTTCCGCACCGCGGCGGAAACATGGCAGAGGAAGCACTCGAGGGGATCGCGCACGGCCTGGGAGGTGTGGAAGAGTTTTGCCAAGACACTGGTGGAAAAGTACGAACTTCTCGGAACAGAAAGCAGCCCCGCCTCGGCAAGGGCCGCGGCAGAGATCGTCGGGGCCATGGAGGAGGGCATTCTGGCAATCGAGCGGACGATCTTTCGGGAGACCCAGCAGCAGCCCAGTGGCGACGATATCGCGAGGGATTCCGCCCTGGCCGCAATGTACACGGAGTACGGGCGGTTGCTCCTGAATTCCTCGGAGCCTCCCCCTCCCGGCGACGACGAGGGTTCCACCCATCGGTGCTTCGAGCTGGCAAGGGATCCGCATACGTTGCTGATCGGGGCACCGGAGCGGCTGAACGAGTACAAGAGCAAACAACTGCAAGGTTCTGCTGCTTCGCAAGGCGAAGCGATCCACGCTTTGTTCGGGCCCCTTTGTAGGGACAATGCCGAAAACGCCCTGAGGAACGCGCTGAGCCTGGACGCCACCCTTTCCGAGGCCGAGGTGCTCCTGGAAACGATCACCGGGATGGACTCGAAAGAATCGGTCCACGCTCGGAAACCAAAGGAGTTTGTCGCCGAGCTCTTTGATTCTTTTGCCGAAACTTTTGACGAAAAACTCGTTGGGACGCTGGGCTACAGGGTGCCGCAAATCATTGGTGAAACCGTGGGGGAAATCCTGGGCAGCGAAAAAAGCGAAGGCAATGCGAGATTCGGCTTTGGAGCCATTCGCAACGTACTGGATGCTGGGTGTGGAACGGGCTTGGCCGGCCGGGAACTGCGAAAGGCCATCGACGGATCCCAGGATCAACAACCAACGCGAATCACCCTCGTGGGGGTCGATGCATCGCAAAAGATGCTGGACATAGCCAAAAAGTGCACCACTTCGAAAGGATGCGGTCTGCCAGCAACACCGTCCGGCCAGGGGGGTGACGACACGAAACTTTACGATGCACTCCTCGATCTAGACCTCGAAGAAATGACCCTTGCAAACACGTTATCTTCTGGTGCCGACTCCGCATCGTCCTTCGAGCTGATCGTAGCTGCGGACGTCTTTGTCTACTTTGGAAGCCTGGAACAGATGATGGTGGTGCTCTCGGAACTCAGCCACAGCGATGGAGGCCTCCTTGTGTTCACGTGCGAGCGGGCCACGGAGGAAGAGGCCCCGCTCGGATTCCGTCTGCTTCCGACGGGGCGGTTCGCCCACACCAAGGGACACGTTCTGGGAGCGGCATCGGAAGCGGGTTATTCCTTGCTGCGCTACAACCAGATCGTGCCCCGGACGGAAAAAGGAGTCGACGTGGATGGCCATCTGTTCGTCTTTGCAATGGACGGAGTGAGCGACGAGAAAGCAGCAGAACTCTAACCGAAAAAAAAGATGGACCATTTCTGGATGCGTGCCTGCCAAAGCAAATCAATGAAATGGATACAAACCGTCTATAAATGAATACAATGTGATTTTTTAAAAAGGATAGATGTATTGCCTTGAAGAACCCAGTCATTGTTAAAACACAAGAGATTCATCTGAGTTGTCGCTAGCGTATTCGTCACCGCCATTGTTTCCAGTTTCTTTCCTCGTCTTACTCAACTCGCTGAAAGACAACGTATGAAAGAGATCCGCGTCATCAGATTCGCTGTCCGATAGCTCGATCACCTTGTTATTTGTGGCGCGGTTGACGCTGCTTGCTACGATCTTTTTCGAGGTTTCTTGGAGATTTGCTACAGCAGAATGAGACTGAGCCTGAGTTTTTTGCAAGGCTTGGTTTTGCAGGTTCGCAAGTTCTCGTTCTTTTTGTTGTAGATTCATGATCTGCCGTGTAGTGTTTTGTTGATTCTGAAATTCATTTTTCTGATTCAATTGTTGCTGCAAAAATAAAATCTGCTGGTGATTCTGCTGTCGCAACGCAATCTCAATTTGGTGGTTAATCAACGCTACCTGTTGGTCCTTCTGGTGCTCAGCGTTCATGAGCTTTTGTTGCTGAGTCGCAAAATGTTGTGTGGCCTGTTGTGAATTCTGCTTTATTTGATGTTGCATCTTCTGTTCCATCTGCTGCCCCATCTGCTTTTGCCGATCCAGTAGGTTAGCATAGTGATGCTGTTGATTTTGTTGTTCATATTGCTGCTGCTGTTGGTTGACTGTTTGCTGAAATTGAGGTGAAGGCGTTTGATTGTTCATCTGTTGTTGAACGCTCAGCTGCTGCTGCTGCGTCGCGTATTGCTTCTGTATCTGACGTTGTAGTTGACCACATTCCTGCTGTTGCTGTTTTTGGTTCTGCTGAACCTCAGCACCCTGTTTCTTTTGTAGTTGTTGCAACTTTTCTTGTTGTATATGCTGATGTTGGAGTTGTTCCTTCTGCTGCTGCGCTTGGAGTTGTTGCAACTGCCCTTGGAATTCTGTTTGTAGCTGCTGTAGCCATTGCTTACACTCCTCAGCATTTTGTTGCTGTTGAAGTTGTTTAGGAAACTGATTCAGTTGCATTTCATACGTTTGTAAGAGCTGGATCTGCTGCTGCAAATTCGTTGCTTGCTTTACGTACTTTTCTTGGAATTGCAAGGCCTGAAAACTTTGCCATTGTAGATTCTTGATTTGTTTGTCAACGATTCCATTCAAATTCATCCATTCTTGTATTGTTCCATTCATCGTCGTTTGTCCGCCAAAATTTGGGAGTGATGCTTGTTGTTGATGTGGCATTCTCCTATTTGCTTGTTTCTGAATGGAATCATTTCGTGACGATTCGTCACCAGTCGAAGTTGGATTCATATTTTGATTGCGATTTTTACCATCTAGAGATATTGGTGTTGGTTCGGGTATGGAATCCGGAATTGCTACAAATGGTTGCGCATCGGAATGTGGCAGTAGTTGTTGTTGCTGATGTGATGGTCGCAAGGTGTCATTTTGTGTCGCTAAACATGACGTCTGTTGGTTTTGCTTCTCCCAATTTTTCTTCAACCTTTTTATTAGTTCTTCTGCTGCAACGTTCAGTGACGTATTGAATTCAATATTGGGTTTGTTTTTTGATCGCTGAAGCTGATTCATTTGCTTTAATTGTTGAGACTGTTGTGAATGTTGCGAATGTTGCGATCGTTGCGAATCATCCATTGATCCGGCAATGGCGACGGATATTTTTTTGCGCATCGTTGCCTTCGGCGTCCGCATTTGTTGCAACTGTCGAATCTGCCCTTCAACCGGCGGATCAAGGGTAGTGTCTAAGAAGAGTTCTATCATCTTCTTTTTTGCCTTCTCGTATCCAATATCGTTCCACGTTTGCGATTCTTTGTTAAACTGAAGAAATCGACCGGGTGGGTTCGCAAAGATTGACAGGTAGTCCTTGAGCATGAGCGAGGCAAATTCGCTGCGAGTTTTTAATAGTAGGTCGCTAGAAAGGCCTGCTGATTCAAGTTGATCATACTGTGCCTTGTATTTGCATACAATTTCGTGAAATGCCATGTTGCCTAGATGGGATTTCCCCTCGTAATTCAACAAAAAATCATGGAGATGCGGTTTCGTAATACCATTTTGTTCACCCAGACGTCTCTCTGGTGTATTTGTCGACAGCTTAGTCGCGCCCTGTTCACTACGACTCCTCTTATGGGACTTTTTCTTATTTTCTGAGGCTTCCTGGCGGACTCGAGCCTTCTTCCTTTTCAGACGCCTCAAAAAGCTTCGTTTTACTTCGAAAAAGATTTCATCTTGATCCATTTCCACCCATTGTTTTTCCCTTGTACTGTACTCCAGAAAGCGACCGAGTGGCTTTCTAGTTTTCTGGATATCGCAAACAATGGCCTCGGTAAATCTATTTATCAAAACATCTGAATCGGAATCATACAACGCCTCCACGAAAGTAGACGCATAAATCTCAAGAACCTGTTGCAAGTATAAATTACCCTCGTGCTGTGTTAAATGCTTGGGTGCATCCTTGAACGATCTTAATACATCGTTATCGTGCGGTTCGATGGTATCCAAACCAGATTTTGGGCTATGTCTTTTCGAAGGCTGGTACAAATCAAATTAGAATAGTGATTTTATTGTGAGAGAAGGCGGCGGAATGCTCTGTAAAAATGGTCTGTAAGGAAGCGTACCGTACGACTTTCGACATGAAGAAAACTTACTGCGGTTACTTCTGTGACTCTTTCGGCAGTCAAAATTTCATGAAGGTGTGGCGTTTCTACAATATTGTCCTTGCTATCATTCATTTTCAGTAGCTCTCTTTCTCTCTCTCTATTTTTCGTCTTTCCATCGCTGTCCTGTCTGCTGTTTTCTCTGTTTCCAAAAAGACTAAGTACAATACTTTTGTCTCTGAAAATCACTTTACCGCACGGTACTTCACTCGTACCTGTACGTACTCGTACGTTTAAAATTAAAATTATGTTGAATCTGTACCGTACTCGTACCGGTACTTGACTTTGTGAGCCTAACACACGTACTGAAACACTTAAATCACGAGTGAGTAGGGAGTAACTCACCACCTCAACTCACTCTTTATTGTAAACACGTAGTAATAACACACTAAAGAGCATACTTACATTTCGCAGTTTATGAGCAACCAAAATTCCTCAGCTCATCTACCCATCATGTCCGGTTGACATAAGGAGCTCTCTGATCTAGATTAACCGTTATGACCCATTATTACGAAACGTGTAGTACGAGCTCTCGTAGACCCCGCGCGCGCGCAGTGGTAACTATAACTCGTACCAGTATTAAATTTTGTGAACAGATTTCTACCTTCCTCCACCCTTCATTTCGAGATTACAACATGGCAAAATGATGGAGCTGTTCACTTCGGTTGGATCAATTGCAAAGAGGCGTTGTAGTAATAGAGAAGTCGTCGTTTCCATCGCATATCTGGTATTTGCTCTCTGTATTTTTGTTTTGTCAAAAGAATTCCATTTGCTGAATGGAACCGCGGAGATTAGTGGAGTTTTTGATGATGCAATTAAAGACAGATCAAAAAATCTAACCAAAAGTTATGAGCTTGACTATGAAAGTTGTAAAGCAAGTGGCGTTGATAGCCTCGTGCCAGAGAACTGGTGCTTGGACTCTAACAACGTCCCCCGATATGTCGGTAAGGAAGACTGGCCTCCAAGAAACATCCATCGATACACTCATGGTGGATACGAAAAATGTTTGGGGAACAAGACTTTGGTGTTTATAGGGGATTCTCGAGTTCGGTATCAATTCATGTCTCTTGCTTCGTATCTGCAATCAAAAGAGTTCATGAAGTGCGAAGACTATTCGATGATTGCAGAAGCAAAAAACATCACATTTTCACCTGATCCAAAATGTTTTTTGGTGAACGAAAGATTTTTAAACATTTCTTGGAATCAATGGTATGAGGATACCACTGCCGAGTTTCCAGGGAGTCTATGCGACTGTTATCGAAGCAACAAGAAGGGATTCAAACCAGATTCAACCTTCGAAAATAGATTTTTCAAGAAACCAACTCCTTTTGGTGAGATCACCCTGGTGTACATTCAAAACTTTCTTGATGACGTTACCATGAACAAGCACTTCCCACCATTTACTTCCTTCGAGCCGAATCCACAGCGCTGCAAGCCTGGTAATTGCTTGGATAGAACAATTGGTTTTCAAGGAAATTTAAGCGCAATACTATGGAACATTGTCCCTAAATTCAATCCGACACATGTGTTCGCCAATAGTGGATGGACGTTTGTGGACTACTCTTGTGAAGTTCGGGACTTTTCAAGGCATTATCCTGGTATCAAATCATATTTAATCAGCCATCCATCCATGTTGGAAAAAGTTTACAATCCATCTCTAGAATTTGATGCAACAAAACTACAATGCGACAGTGATTTGATTGATCGTACCGCCATGACCAAAAATGTGCCGAAGAATTGGTACTGGGATCGGGCGCATGTGCTCAGTATCTTAAACGAAGAATGGAATCACTTGTTGGTGGGAAAAATTTGCCCGATCAAAACATACTACTAATATTCCGTGAACGTATTTGAAACAAGACATTATTTTTTATCTTAGTTGTTCATTTTTTCTCAAAAGTAGCTGCTCACCGATAGTCAAACCCAGTACTGCATATCGATATTCTTTCCGATTTATCATTTGTATGCAAATAGATTCAGGATTAGATTCATCAGTAGGGTATGATTCCTTTGGTGAACAAGAGGTATCCAAAAAACGATTGGGCTCGTTGGATCGAAAGCACCGAAACTGCATTCTCCAATAGCTGAGCCGGCGGGTGTCTTATTGCTTGATTTTAGTTGCATGCATCGATTTTCTTGATTCGACTCGACTACCGTTCACTGTGGCGACTGGACAGATCCCGCCCGCTCAGGATCCGTTCGGTTCGGACCCGAGTGAACAGAGGACGGCAGCGTCGTGAACACAATGTCCTCAGTCGGTTCCTTGGGGGCATAAAAACGAAAAGGATCCAACTTTGGAACGGATGCTGTTGTTCCACGACGCTGCAACTGACTGGTATCGCATCGCACCATGTCGCATTGTGCGCGACCAGCCCCGGTGATGTCTTTCTATGGCCATGCCATGGATTGCCATACCTATCCATCCCGTGGTTCGTTCGGCGTCGTGCTATGCTGTGATGTTGCTTTCCCGAGCCCAGTGCCTTCTATAGCTCCGGATCCGGTGTGGCAGACGCTGCCTCGGCGTCGCGGATCGCGAGTTCCAGAGCGGAGGCCAGATCGTGGCAGAACCGGAGCACGGTTTCCCGCTCGAGCTCGGTTGGTCTGCCGAACGCGTCTTTGGTTTCCGGCGCGGCTGCTGCCTCCAGAGCAGGAACCACCGTCTGGTCCAACCGATCGAGGTGGCGGCGAAGGATCTCGACCCCCGACGACGACGGCTTGCCGACGTATCGCACACTGTTGATGCGGTCGTGCCATTCAATCTGGAATCGATCGTCGCCGCCGCCGGCGTCCCGTGGCCCGTGTTTCTCGAGGACGTCAAAGGCAATGCCGTGGTGATGAAAGATCCACCGCTGGGGGTAGGCCTCGACAAAACCATAGTCCCGGAGGAGCTCGGGGGTTCCGATCTGGCCGTAGTCGTGGTAATCCGTATAGATCTGCTCCCCCGCGGCGAGGTCCCGCAGGGCGCGGATTTCGAGCGCGATCGGCCCGTCCCCGTTTTCGACGGAAAAAAAGGCCCCGGTCCAGTTGCCCCCCCGGCTATTGAACTTATCGGTGAGGGGGACCATTCCAAAGTCCTCCCCGTGGGTAGTGACGAGGAGTGTCGCCACCGGATCGACCCTGGCCTCGCAGCGGTGCTTCCAGTCGTCGTGGATCCAGAAGACGTCCTCCGGCGGGAGAACCTGGACCGGCTCTCCGGTTTCGTCGTCGTCAAAGAGGACGCGCGAGAGCAGCTTTTTGCCCCCCTCGGACCAGTGGGCCGGAAGCAACTTGGAATGCTCCGTGGCCGTCTGGATCAATCCCTCGACGTAGTGGGAAAAGTCGGACCGCACGACGCCACCGGCCCCGGCGTCCCTCTCAGTCTGGAGCTCGTCGGCGAGGCGTTGCACCATGCGGCAGTTTTCGTCGAACCGATCCGGGTGATCTTGGTCCTCGCTTTCGTCTTCGTCGTCCGGGTAGATGACGCACTCCCATGGAATCTTTGCCAGAACGGCGTGCCGCTCGATGGGTTCCGACGCAAAGACCCCGTACAGGCCCGGCACCGTCTCATCGTACCGCAGCTCCTGGCCCGGATTCCAGTACCCGCCCCTGGATCGAATCCATTCGATCAGTTTTTCCTCGTTTTCTTTCTTGTCAAAGACGCTTCCTTTGCTGTCGGCGACGATGCCTCGGGGAAGGAGCTGCGACAGCAACAGCAGGGCGGCGATCCACCGGGACACAACCATGGACAAAGACATTGCCATCGTTGGTTCAGAAAGCAGCACGAGCAATGAATTGGATCGATCCAATGGGCGGCTGCGTCAATCAATAAGTGTAGGCAAGGGAAGGAACGCAATCGTTCTCTTGCGGCATACGGTGGTACCACGGAACCACGTCTTGCCGTTGTCAAAGCTTGTGTATCCAGAAGCAACACTTTTTGAAATAAGTCGACTCGATGAATTTGAGGAATCTTCGGCAGATGGCGGCGGGAGGGTTTTGTTCCAGTGACAGTTTGGCTCGTAGTGTTCTGTAGTGTACTACCGTATCTACGGTACGTACAAACGATTCATTCTTCTTCATTGGATTTCGGGCTCCCGATCTCCCCGTAATTGTTCTTGTCGAGCATGGATTGATACGTGCGCAGGATGCGCACAAATTCGGTGTCGATCTTCCGTTGCGGTACTCCACCCGGCGCTCGGCGCGCCGCGGCACAGGATCCGAGTATTGCCTTTCGTGTAAAACGATTGATGAACCCCTCTCAGATTATTCATGAAAACATTGTTCATTGAGCCCCGCTGCCGTGGGGACCTTCAGCGCGTCCTCAGTAACCCCATGCATCGCGAACCTGGCCGCAAAACGAATAAAAAGACACGTGCGGATTGACCTGTATCACACTTATTACGTTAGCAATCGCCAAACAGCATAGTTCCTCACAAGCAGGAGAGCCGCACCGATCATCTGGCGATAGAATCCAAACACAGAAACCACGCCCCCCCCGTTCATTCTGGTTGTACCAATCAAATCGAACTCCGGCGCAGGCAATCCCCAACCTTTCGAAAGCAATCCCAAGCAAAAACCGAACAGCACAATGGTTCCGAATCCGGGAGGATTCCTCCTCGCTGGCCTCTTTCTAGGCCTCTTTGTTGGACTTGCGAGTGGAGAACAACAACAACAACAACAACAACAACAAGGCAACGCGGGGAGAGGCCGCCCCGATTTCGATACCGACGAGGAAGAAATAGCGCACTACGGCCCGATCGATCGGTTCTGGAGGTACCACGCCGAGAAAAAGACGCTGGTTCTGGGAGGCGTCGAGTACTATGATACGATACAATCCTGCATGGACGAAAAGCTCACGCCCGAGGAATGGGCCTCGGTCCGGCAGCCCCAGGAGCTGGACCGGAGCGTCGGAACGCGTTTCCTCGACTACGAGGGGAAACGGGAGGTCTTTCTGATCGAGGTGAAGAACGCCATGAGCCCGATTCATGCCAAGGCCGTTCGCGTGCTGAAGGACTGCGTCAAGAACAACATCTCGGTGCTGCACGAGCACCGGCCCATGTACCAGGTCTACGAGGTCAGCGAATCGGCGGACCAGAGCCTCAAGGACGAGATGGGGGGAAACAACCCGACCCATCTCAACTCGATCATTGCCATCTTTTTGCCGGACGTCGTGAAGGAGCAGTACAAGACCCTGGCCTTTGCCTACCACCACGCCGGCTGGCAGGCCCTAGTGGTCCGGGACGAGATCCTGGATCGCTACCGCGCTGGCAGCTACGACGCTGCCTTTGTTCCCGTCGAGCACGCGGGGATGCGGGCCTGCGAGTACCTCACCTACGAGGGCTTCAACAACCTCTACGAGCACCAGGACGGTTTTGCCACCTCGGTGGTCCTCAACGTCTTTTTGTCGGAGGGCGATGCCTACGAGGGCGGTGCCTTTTACATGAAGGACAAGGTCAACGAGGAGTACCACCACGTGAGGCCGGACCAGTACAGCGCCTTGGCCTTTCTGGGGGGGACCTACGACCACGGCGTGGACACGATCCACTCCGGGATCCGCGAGGCCCTGTCGACCGAGTTTTGGTACTACCCCGACCTTCCGCCGGGGGTCAATCTCTGCGCCGCCGACTTTGGAAATATTGAGCAGCACGTCAGGAACTGCAACAAGGTGCAGAAATCTTACCGAGACGGAAAGGTAGAAACGGACTATTCGGCCCACTGCGACGCCATCTTTCCGTCGAACTCCATCTACGGGGTCTGCAAGTCCCACTTCGGGGAAATGCGAAACATTTACGGGGACCAGGCAGCGGGGAACAACGACGGCGCGGAATCCACAAAGGCAGACGCCGCAGCCGCAACCGCAATMGTGACGGACAAAGAGAAGGCAGCCATCGAAGGCGTGAACACCAAGAACGGCACGGAACTGTGATCCATCGATCGACGCATCACTCGCTCGATCCGTCCACAATGCTATGATTTGTATTATACTACTGCGCGATTCAACAAGAAACTACACTGCTCTTTTTGCGACCTATAATGGTAGAAAAATTACATTCTGTGAGAGATAAACAATGACACTATTCAACTGCATTTACGCCGTAGAAAACATTAGGTGGCAGGACAAAGTCGTGCATTGCCCGCAGACTCCTTTACAGGAAATGCTGGTGTAGCTATTGGACACTTTCCCAAGTCCAACAAACTGATCAGATCATATGACGCTGTGGAATGAGTTGAGGGCGCCATCTTACATGTAGGAAGTCAAGACTGATTTATTTCAGACAAACCTCGCCAGTAAGGTATAAAACATTACAATCCATCCCCGTACCATTTCATTCGACGAGAGAAAGATCAGGCAAGCTTGACCAATAGATTGTGAGGCGCCGCACACACTTCTGAAGCACTGAAACTGCAATTGCAGATTGCTGAAACTGACGATAGGCCACAACATGCCTGAAATCGGACGCTGAAAAATAATTAACTGAAATTTACGAAACTAATGTAGCATTGCTATAGCTGCGTTTCTTTCGTTCTTCAAGGACACGAAAGGCACGTCAAAGAAAACAAATCATGGATAAAGGCACATTATCTAGAATAATGCTGCACGGCCTTCGACATGTGCAACAACTAATTCTAGTACATTGACATTGCGGACTACTTGTGCCCCCCCCCCCCTACACACGCATTCCCCCGGTCCCGTCGATTGCTCCCGTGTCCCTTTTTCAGTTTTGTATCGTTTTGAACCCCCTCACAACCTCGATCGCAAACGGAGGGACGATTCGATCGATTGCTGTCGCTCCAGCGTCCGATTGGTTTCGAGACGCCGCGCTCGCTCCTCCTCCGAAAACGTCGGGGAAAAGTCCTGCCGCAAAGACAGCATTCTGAATTTCTTTTTGACAACAGCAATATATGCAATAGGAGGCTGCTCCTCGGTGTGGTGGTGGTGCTGCTGCTGCTGGCTGTTGGCCGGTCGCCGTAGCCCCAGGGTGTGACGGGCACGACGAGAGCCATCGCCGTTGTCATCACTGGAGGATGCCCCGGAACGGCACCGCATCGAATCTGCCGAGGACGACGACCCCGTCCTCGTTTTGTCATCTTCTTGGGGAACTGCTTCTCCACCGAGAACACCAGACCGGGAGCTGCACGATCTAGAAAACAGGTTGTGGGCGTCATCGATGGGAGAAGCCACGACCGTCTTGTCGCTTTCGGCAAACCGCTCTTCGGCGCCCGCGTCCATGACGGCCTCGAAAAAATCCGCCGCAGCTTTGTGAGCCCAGGGAGCGCCCAGCCAACCCGCGTTCGGAACCCCGGATTCTTCCGACCACCACCCCAGGTGGCCACCGCATTCCGTCTCGATGTAAACCACGTTGGGATTCTGTAGGGCGTGGCCCATCAGACGCCGGGCGTTGGCGAAGCACAGGGGATCGTCTCTGGCCTGAACGTGCAGCAAGGGAACAGAAACGTGGCGGCCCTGTTGGAAGGAGCTGCTATCCCTCCAATAAAAGTCTTCGGGTGTTTGCGGTTCTATGACCGGTTTGCTGGTTTCATTGCTGCTCCTGCTGCTGTCGGTCTTTGAAGTTTTGGTTGGAGCAGAGTAGCGGGGAGTAGTTCTGTCGCCGCGGTGACCGTATCCGATGCGAGTTTCGTAGGGCGGATGGGCCGAGTTTCGAACCATGTAGGGCGCTGCGGCCCGATCGAGTGAGGCGAGGGAAATGATGCGAGGGTCGTAGATGAGAGATCGGGTGACAGTCCGAAAGTCATTCCTCGTTGAGGCTGGGCAACCCGCATCATCATTCGTGGCTGCCATCCTTAGGGCCGTGCGATGTCGGAAGTAGTTGGCCTTTCGGGCTGCCCCGATTAGCACCGAATGTGGGAACATCATCCGATTGGCCCGAAGAACGAAGGGATTGCCCAGAGTGACTCCTGCTGCAACAGACCGCGGTAGGGTTCCTGCCAGGCCTTCTTCCCCCAGGTACTTGGTGAGGAGGTTCGCTCCGAGCGAGTTCCCCACCAAAAAGAGGGGAGCAGACGCTGTGGCTGCTGTAACGTTGCATTCAGCGCCACCCATCATTCGAGCCGAAATCTGGTTCACCAAGCTCCGCAGATCGCCTGTGTACGCGGCCGTGTAGGATCGTGGGGTCGACAGCCGCTGTGCTAGCCCGCATCCTCGAAAATCGACCGCTGCCGCGTTCCAGCCCCTGTCCGTCATGGTCCGTTGCAGGCTCCTGACGTATCCGTAGCCAGACGAATTGTTTATCCCATGCAAAATCAAGACAGTAGGGTTCTGTATTTTTGTGTTGCTCGTTTCTGCTTTCCGGTTAGACAAAGACGATCCCAGGATTTCTTCCCTTCGCCGCTGCCCTTCGGTTTTGTCGTCGTCATTGTTGTTTGGGACTTCCCATACGAGGCAGATTTCGGCACCGTCGTAGGAAGAGGTGATGATCTCTTGAAATCTTAACACCGACGGAACATTTGGGGAAGGTCCCTTGGCCAGAAATGCCGCAGAAGTCGAAAGTCCCCCACGGGTTCCCGCCCACACTGTAGGGACAATGGGGCCTTTGAAAACTCCCTCGTCGGTGTCCATCAGCTTATTGCAGGCTGAACGCACCAGCGAATTAGGTGGAATCTGTCCGGCGAGAAAGGGAGATTTCGTGATCCTCAGCTGGCGTCTCTTTTCGCAGGCATATGCGACAGCAAGCGCAGCGGCAACAGCAAAAGCGCATCGATGGCTTTGTTTCTTTGGCTTGTCCTCATCTTCCTCTGCATCCATCAGTATTTCGGATCCACCATCCGAATCAAAATCCTCCGTGCTGCTACAGTCGGTTCCCATTTCCTTCGTGTTAGACGTCTCTTCCTCCCCGTTGTTCTTCCCGCTCTCTTGGCCGTCGTTGCTCTCCCCGATTTCGTCATCGTCGGCGTCGCAAAACGCAAAGATTTTCTCTTTGCGATTGTTTGGGGGCATGGTGCACACCAACGAATGCTTCCGATTTCTACAGTATCGATTTCATGTAGATTACTATGGATTGATGCCGGAATCTCCTTTTCATCACTTGTAATACCTTGTTTTCCGACCTTCACATACACGAGTGTTATGTGTTATCACCGGTGATGGTTGCAAAAATCTCATGGATGATGAAGATGATCACTCTTCGCTTTGTACGAACCATTTTCCATTTTCTCTATCGGGTGTCGTATCCTACGTACAGGCCGACCGTACGCTATCGTATTTGGTAAAGTACGGTACCAGTACGAACGCAAATGTGTGGACAAAATGCGTAATAGGTTATGAGTACAATAAGACGCGCCAGTTTTTAGCTGTGAGCTCTTAACTTTGCTTGCTTGTTA